GGGTATCCAAACAACGCAGTCCGCCATTTCCCCCCCTTTTCCTTAGCTGTGCTCCTCCCTTTTATTCTATTGGCTTTCGAAAGCCAATAGAATAGACTCTCTTGAATAGAGTCCAATTCTATTGGCTTTCAAAAGCCAATAGGAATTGTCCAGGCTGTCTCTGCCCTGCTGAGCCCGCCAAAAGTCCCATTCTGCAAACGGTGCTGCACCAGTTGAGTAGTCCTCAACTTACGACCGGTTGAGTAGTCCTCGACTTACGACCGGTTGGGGGTCACGGCATTAAAAAGGTTGAGAACCACTGGCCTAGCGGTTAAGGAAGCAGGCTAAAAACTGGGAGACTGGGAGTTCTAGTCCTGCCTTAAGCATGAAACCTGCTTGGGTGATGTTGGGCCAACCCCAGGAGACGGTGAGTTCTAGTCCCGCCTTAGCCATGAAAGCTAGCTGGGTGACTTTCGGTAAAGCACCAGGCGATCGAGAGTTCCAGTCCCACTCAGGCACAAAAGCCAGCCAGGTGACTTTGGGCCAATCACCAGGAGACGGTGAGTTCTAGTCCCGCCTTAAGGTTGAAACCCAGCTGGGTAACTTTGGGCCAATTACCAAGTGATGGAGAGTTCTAGTCCCGCCTTAGGCATGAAACCTGAGCGGGTGACTTTGGGCCAATCACCAGGAGCCGGTGAATTCTAGTCCCATTTTAGGCATGAAAACCAGCTGAATGCCTTTGAATCAATCACCAGGCGAGAGAGAGTTCTAGTCCCGCCTTAAGTATGAAAGCAGCTAGATGCGTTTGGGCCAATCACTAGGAGATGGTGAGTTCTAGTCCCGCCTTAGGCATGAAAGCCAGCTGGCTGACTTTGGGCCAATCGCCAGGAGACGGGGAGTTCTAGTCCTGCCTTAGTCACAAAACCCAGCTGGGTGACTTTTAGCCAAACACTAGGAGACGGGGAGTTCTAATCCTGTCTCAGGCACGCAACCTGGCTGGCTGAGCCAGTCTCCCCCCCCCCCTCTCTCTCTCTCTCATTCCAGCCCACCTCACCGAGTTGTTGTAGGGAAAATGGGAGGCAAGTGTGTTGGATAGACTTGTCGTCTTAGACACAAATAATAAAGCTGGCTGATCAATGAAATAAATAAAAATGGCAAAATAAAATCTCCGATTAGGATACCCTCCCTCAACATCTCTTCCAAATCAGATTTATTGCCGATGGGATTAACAAGAGAGGGCATTTTTTGGTCACTGCGCCAATAAAAAAGATGGTTCAGATTGTCACAACCGCATGTTTAACACCCCCCTGGCTTGGTAAGATAATATTCTGTTTTTGCCAACTGGGAAGAAAAATAAACAGGAGTTATCCATTATCACTGGCAGAAAGGTTTCACATTCTCGCTCCCCCCTACACACACACACACACACACACACACACACACACACACAGAGGGGCTTTTGCAAAAAAAGAGAGACGGGGAGCTTGAAAATCTGGCTTGGCAGAATTCTGGACCAAAAAAGGCCTACGGTTCGGGCAAAACGAAGCCTAAGCAGCAGTATTGTGGAATAAATAAAAAGTAAAACACTTTCCAATCAGATTACAGGAAGTCCTCAACTTACGACCGCAACGGAGCTTAACCACTGCGGTTAAACGAATCACTGGAATTGTAACATGGTTATTAAGTGAATTTGGCTTCCCTATTGACTTTGCTTGGGGGGGGGGTTTGGTCGCAAAAGGGGATCACGTAGGATGCCGCAACCGTCATAAACGTGAGTCAGTTGTCAAGCGGCCGAATGCAAATCGCGTGACCGTGGGGGGAAGACACTGCAACCATCTTAAATGTGGAAAAAACGGTCAATTTTTTGGGTGCTGTCGTAACTTAAACCGGTCACTAAATGAACTGTTTTAATTTGAGGCCTGTACTGGATTTGTTTATATGCTTATTAAATTTATATGCTGCCGGTCTTACCGTCGCAGGGATTTTGGGGGATTTACAAATGTAACAAAAAGATTAAACCACATAATACAAAATGACACAAAACTAAGGGGATCCAATAAGTAACTTAAGTACTTTGTAGTGACTGGGTGACTAGGGGCCTGTTCTTCTTTCTCAGCCCGGCCCACCTCACAGGGTTGATGTGGGGGAAAAGGAAGAGGATTAGAAACAACTGCTGCCTTGAGTGACTTTGTCAAGTAATAACGGCAGATAAAAATTGAGTAAAACAATCTAAGCAAGCAAACTCTTTTGAAGATTGCCCCCCAGCTGCCAACTTGCCACCCTGGATAGAGAGAGGAGCGGCATATAAATCTGATCAATAAAACTTATTTAAAATCTTTCTTATAAAGTATTAATAGTGGGGGGGGGCGATTAAAAATCAGATCAGTCCAGTTTTTCAGCAGCCAAAAATTCTGCTCAAATTTTCTAAGTGGCTAACCTCTTGCCCACGAGCGGCATATACAGTTGATAATTTTGTTATTTTGGAATAATGCAGAATTGGAAGGCACAGGAAGTTGGTGGGGGGAAGCCTTTAAAAGGCAAGTATTGGGCAAGGTCCACCCTTGGGCGGGAGTCTTTATTGAACCCCTTAAAAATCAGGATTAAAATGGGGGATGAGAGATAGAGAGCCCAATCCAGAGTGAAACCACTTTGGTTCCAAAAGGGAGGGGGGGCACTGATAAACAGATGGGGGGGCTTCCTTTTTCTATTTTTTTCTTTTTTGGAAGAGCCATTTGCACTTGGAAAAACTGCAACCCACTCAAACGAGAGATGGGGGGGTGTTTGGGAGAGTAGGGTGGTCACAGCCCCCTCTCTAAGTAACTCAAGACCCCTCCCCAAATTCCTTTTTTTTGCTCCTGCAAAGAAGTGTATTTGCACTTGCAAAATAAAATAAAATAAAAAAAAATTTAGCTGACTGTGTTCAGCAGGTCAGCGGTTCAAATCTCACCGGCTCAAGGTTGACTCAGCCTTCCATCCTTCCGGGGTAGGTAAAATGAGGACCCAGATTGTTGGGGGCAATGTAAATATATATATACATTGCTTACTGGTGTACACCGCTTAGAGAGTGCTTGCACTTAAAGCGGTATATAAGTCTCATAAATAAATAAAAAGGTGCAAAGAAGACAAGACTTCCAGAAAGAGGGCAGGGGGGGGGCTGGCTCACCCAGAAAAAAACCCCTAAATAATCGAAGACACCCCTCCCCTCCCTCCCTCCAATTCCCACGGAAGCGCAAAAGTGGGCAAAAACCCACCCCAATGTCTTTTTCTTCCGTTTTGCAAAGAGGCAGCATTCATTCGCCCTTGCAAACAAAAAAAAAAAAAAACCTTGCAAAGCTTCCAGAAAGCGGGGAGGGGGGGCGCGGTCCTAGAACTTGAAGACCCTCCCCCGTTTTATTTTTTCTTGCAAAAAAAAAAAAAAAGAACTGCAAACCTCTTGCAAAAATTCTTGCAAACTGCCCCCCCACCTTCCAAAAAAGAGGGGGAAGGGGGCTGCTTGGGATAGCCGGACGGGTCAGAGCATCCACCCTGAGTACCCCAAGACCCCCCCCGCCCCAAATTCCGATGGAAAAGCAAACTTTAGGGACCCCCCCCTCCTCCTCCTGCCCCCCCCCGCCCCAACCTTGGACCACCCACCATCTCATCCGGGCTGAGGATGCCGAACTGCACGCGCTTGATGGTGCGCAGCGGGCACGCGCTGTCCCCGGAAGGCGCGCCCCCGTGCATCTTGGCGCCTGCTCCCCTCTTTTTTCTCTCTCTCTTTTTTTTCCCCTCCTCCCGTCCGCCGCCGCCGCTTTTTTTTTCTCTCCTTCCTTTCCCCGGAGTCACGTGACGCCGCTGCCTCCGCCTTAGTCCGTCAGCAGCCCGGAAGAAGCCACAAGCAGCCGCCGGCCGGGTTGGTTGGTTTGGTTTTAACGCCGCCGGACCGAGCTCGTTTTTTTCCCCCACGCCGGGATGCGAGTCCAAACTCCCGGGTAAGAGGCAGCGGGCGCAGCGACGGCGATTTTTCCCCCGGGCACGCGACCACGTCCGGCCGCTTCTCCCCTCCCTCCTGTCCGCTCCCTCCGCGCTCTCCGGCGCGACTGAGCGAAGGCGGCTCCGTCGTCGTCTTATATAGCCTCGCTCCCCTGCCACGGGGCTACAGGAGTACAACGGCAAGGGCGAGGGCGGCGGAGGGGGCGGGGCCGCGGCTGCGCGGTCTCCGAAGGGGAAGGGGGCGTGGTCAGGCCAGAGGGGAAAAAAAGAAAAAAGAGGGAGGCGAGGTCGAACCAAATTGGTGGCTAGGGGGGGGAGGAAATGTACAGTAAATAAATGATAGAAATGTTATTTAGGCTTTGTTGCATTATTTTGGGGGGGGGCGAGCCAGATGGGTCGTTTCCGCTATCATAATAATAATAATCGTCAACCATCAGCGCCAGCCAATTTGAATGTTCAGTTGACTGACGTTCATGTTTAATGAAATAATAATAATAATAATAATAATAATAATAATAATAATAATAATAATAATAAAGTTGGAAGGGACCTTGGAGATCATCTAGTCCAACCTCCTGCTCAGGCAGGAAACGCTGCCTAACTTTCGGCTCAGCCGTGCTTTTTATTCTTATTATTTTTAAACGCGTGTTGAACAGCGATCTAAAATGTGTCCAAGGCAATCAGGTTACTAAAAACAGTTGGATAAAATATTATTTGGCGTGTTTGCTAAAATTACTTGGGGCTTTTCACACCTTTTTTCCCCAGCTGTCATGCAATGGAAGCAGGTGGGTTTTTTTTTTTTTTTGCAAAGATTGCAACTTTATTCCAGAAAGGCATAAACCCAAAAAGCTTATTCTGTAGCCCAAGCCCTGACATTGCTCTCAAATTAGATTAACATACAATTTCCTTAATTATTCTTCTCTTTCCCCCCCCCCTATGCTAATGGTACAGTCCTTACGGGAAAAAAAAGCTCCTTTCCCGAAGATTTCCGACCTGCCTCATTGCCTATTCATGAGCTCCGAAAGGGCGGGGAAAACCAAGCCGCCCCTTTTGGAGGAGGGGGTGTGGCCACCGGCCGAACGCTTCCGAAAATGGCCGAAGGGGCCCCGAGGGTGGAGAGTTGGGCACCTCTCAGAGCCAGCTTTGGTCGAGCGCGTAGCCGAAGAGGATGGAACGCTCCGAGTGGCGGCCTGCAAGGCCTCGGCCTCGCGTGATTCTCCTGGCCCGGAGAGGCGCGCGCTCGCCCGGCCGCTCCGCTTAGGAAAGCGCGCTGCTTCGGGGCCTACTTCCCCAACTGACTCGGGCCTTCGCCGAGGCTACGGAGGGCGAAAAAATAGGGGAATTACGGGCCGGAACAGGTGAATTAATCTCCCGGAGGAGCTTTACGCGGGCGGGGGTGTGTGATTTATTTGTGAAGGGGCGACTTTGAGGGGGGGTCTCAGGACGTTGCTGCTATTGAGGGGGGGTGGGCTTCTAAGTGTGACAGGAAAAGGGGGGGGAACTCGGTCTCGGGGTGAAAATTAAGGGGTGCTGTCTGAGGAAGGCCTGACAGGAGTGGATGGGGGGGCAGGGAGAAAGTAAATAATGGGGGGTCCTCAGATGTGGGGCTGGGGGGGAGGGGAAGCTATCTGGGGGGGGCTCCTGAGGCCGTGAGGTGTGTGAGAGAGAACAAATTTGGAGGGAATGGAGAAGTGGGGGGGGTTAATAAAGGGTTGGGGGGTTGGGGGCGCTCAATGTGGGGAGGGGGAGATTAAAGGGGGGCAAAGAGAGGCTTTCTGGCCTGGGGTGCCAGATTGAGGGGTGTCTTGCCCCCTCCCTAGACAAAAAGGGGGTCCCCCCCATCCTATGGGGCAGGCTTCCCACCATGAGGTCACTATGGAGTTGTGTTAGGCCCCAACACAATAAAATCTGGAGTGGGGGGGGAGAAAAGAAAAAAAAACCACATTTTATTTTTGTATTTTGTTCCTAGCGGCGCAAAAAAAGCCAATGCTTTTCTTTCTTTCTTTCTTTCTTTCTTTCTTTCTTTCTTTCTTTCTTTCTTTCTTTCTTTCTTTCTCTCTCCCTCCCTCCCTTCCTTCCTTCCTCCCACTTGCTTGCCTTCTCCCTTTCTTTCTCTTTTCCTCCTTATCTTCATGTCCCTTTGTCTTTTTTACAGCATTGTAACCTTCATAAAGAAGCCTGAAAGAAAAGAAAAAAACAACGCGGAGGGTGAAATTTATATTTTTGTGTGTGTGTGTGTATGTGTGTGTGTTTTCTGAGGTTTTCGCAAGTGTTTGTATGTAGGTCTTTGGTCATTCGGGTTTTCTCCTGCGTCAAATTGGAAGTGTCTTGGCAACATTTCGACAAAGTCTCATTCGTCATCTTCAGGCTGGTGTTTTTGGCTTCGTGCTTCTAGGACAGTGGTTCTCAACCTGCGGGTCGGGACCCCATTTGGGGTCGAACGACCATTTCACGGGGGTCGCCAAACAATGCAGTCTGCCATTTCCCCCCCCCCCTTTTCCTTAGCTGTGCTCCTCCCTTTTATTCTATTGGCTTTTGAAAGCCAATAGAATAGACTCTTGAATAGAGTCTAATTCTATTGGCTTTCAAAAGCCAATAGGAATTGTCCAAGCTGTCTCTGCCCTGCTGAGCCCGCCAAAAGTCCCATTCTGCAAACGGTGCTGCGCCAGTTGAGTAGTCCTCGACTTACGACCGGTTGAGTAGTCCTCGACTTACGGCCGGTTGGGTGTCGCGGCATTAAAAAGGTTGAGAACCACTGTTCTAGGAGCTTCGTGCTTCTAGATTGCTCCTTGAAGCACGAAGCCGAAAACACCAGCCTGAAGATGACGAATGAGACTTCATCGAAATGTTGCCAAGACACTTCCAATTTGACGCAGGAGAAAACCCGAATAACCAAAGACCTACATACATACATACATACATACATATATACATAACTAACATACATACATACATATATATATATATATATATTGCATTTCACAGCGCTGAAAAAGAAGGGGAAGCCAATGCTTTTTTTCCTTCTCTCTCTCTCTCCTCCTTTAGCACTTCTGCTTCCTCTTTCTTTCCCTGTTGCTTTTATTTTGACCTGATTAGAATCTCATTAATACATTTATTAAAAGAAAGCAAAACCTGGAACGGGGAGACGGACCAGAAGTTGCCAGAAGCTCTGTCTCCAAATAACCAGGTTTTTTTTTTAACTAGTCGTATCTTTGTTTTTTTCCTTCTTTTATTGTTCTGTTATTTTACTTCCTTTTTTTACTTTGGTGTTCTTTTATGTTTGCGAGCCGCCTAGAGTAGCCCCATGGTGAGGATAGGTGGTAAATATTTATTTATAAAAATGTTTGGCTGCCCATCCTACCGTAGGGTAACTTTGGGCGGCTTGCAATCATAAAACATATCTATGCATGTATTAAAACAAATAAATTAAAACCAAACATTAAAATCTAAGGGCATGTGGGGGGAGGGGAGAATCTGCTGTTTCTCGATCAATCGCCTCCACTGTGCTACTGTTAAATTTAATAAATGTATTACATTTATTAAATATGTATTTATTAATACATTAAATAGAATTTACTGACCCTTTAAAAGGGTTAAATGATCTGCTGAGGGAGTGGAGGAAGGTCTTTATTTAAATATAGGTAGTCCTTGACTTATGACCACAATTAAACCCAAGATTTCTGTTAAGTGAGACATTTGCTGCATGAGTTTTTTTAGCATTTATGATTGTCTTGCCAGTTGTTAAGTCCATCTGGCTTTCCCCTGATTTTGCTTTTCAGAAGGTCACAAAAAGTGATCACAATGACCGTGGGACACAGCGAACAGTCATAAGCATGAGCCAAAGGTCGTAAGTGTGAAAAAACATTTTTCAGTGTCTTTGAACGGTCACTAAATGAACTGTTGTAAATCGAGGACTAACCTGTAGTGGGATAGCAATTTTTTTTTATATAGGATTTCTGGCCGAAGAAGGAGAAGGAATAGGGACAGGCCCAAAACGGGATATTCAGGAAAAAGAGAGAAAAATCTGAAAGCATCCCGATGGTCGAAGAAATGGATGGTAGTTGGGGAAATCAAAATAAGGTATTGTTGGCACGGCGCACGCTGATGTTTGCATTGCTAGCCCAAGCTTCTGTCCCTGCGCTGTATCCTTCAGCAGAAATTCGGAGGGAAATGAAAAGACAAAAGAGATAAAATATATGCCACGTGTTTAAAACCTGGAAGGAAAAAAAAAAAAAGATTGACCAGCAGACTTTTTGAGAGGGAAGAAACGCTGTTCCACATGACATACGAAAACAGGGAGGGTCCCGGTGAAACGGCTGTGCTAAACGTTCATGGGGTCGGCTCGCTTTTGCTGCTGTGGGTTGTGTGAAGGCGGCCGTTGTGGTTTGCTCAATTGTATGTCGCTCAACTTGCCCTCAAGCAGCTCCGTGCGGCTGCCGATGTTGTAAATAGCTACCCAACAATTAAAAGGTTAAAACATTGGGTGTTAAATCTGTTTTGTGATGTTTGATTTAGGTGCGGCTCCTCTATATATATGGGGTTCTTTTAGCTCTCCGAGCTTGGTGGTTCTGGCCAGACTGACCACATCATTACAGTGAGCACTGATGATGTTCCCTAGTTGGGTCATGAAACGTCTGCAAGGAGACCACCCAGCTCAAGAGAGCACCAAGGATCCCCATAGTCTTCCTTCCCTCCTTCCTTCCTTCCTTCCTTCCTTCCTTCCTTCCTTCCTTCCTTCCTTCCTTCCTTCCTTCCTTCCTTCCTTCTAGCACTGATGACATTCCCTGGTTGGGTCACGAAACGTCTGCAAGGAGACCACCCAGCTCAGAGACCACCAAGGACCCCCATAGTCCTCCTTCCTTCCTTCCTTCCTTCCTTCCTTCCTTCCTTCCTTCCTTCCTTCCTTCCTTCCTTCCTCCCTCCCTCCCTCCCTCCCTCCCTCCCTCCCTCCCTTCCCTCTAGCACTGATGATGTTACCTGGTTGGGTCACGAAACGTCTGCAAGGAGACCACCCAGCTCAGAGACCACCAAGGACCCTCATAGTCCTCCTCTCTGCAAACTCCTCTCCCTTCCAGCACTGATGATGTTCCCTAGTTGGGTCATGAAACGTCTGCAAGAAGACCACCAAGCTCAAAGAGCACCAGGGACCTTCACATTCTTTTTCTTCTTCCTCCTCCTCCTCCTCTTCCTCCTCTCCATAAGCCCCCCTCCCTTCTAGCACTGATGACGTTCCCTAGTCGGGTCATGAAACGTCTGCAAGAAAACCACCCAGCTCAGAAAGCACCAAGGCCCCCACAGTCCTCCTCCTCACACTGATGATGTTCCCTGGTTGGGTCATGAGACGCCTACAAGAAAACCACCCAGCTCAGAGAGCACCAAGGACCCCCCCCCCTCATTTCAACCCCGCGCTACCAATATCCTCCTTTTTCAGCAAGTCTTGTTTATTTCTGACTTTCTGCCCACCTCGGCAGAAAGGCAAAATCTGTCTGGTCTGGGTAATTACCTAGGATTAAACCTAGTTTAGTAATCACAGGACATCCAGAAGACGTTTTAACATCTGGGAGGCAGACGGGGGCGATGGAACCTCTGGATGGCCACCCAGAAGGCCACCTAGATGCAGCCGTGAAATTGCAAACAAGAATCCAAATTCAGGGTGTTTTTGCTCACTTGCTTCAAATAACCAGGATCTGCAGGATGTAAACAAAACTTTTTTCCAAAGAGCAGACATGCCAACTCTAAAGTATATTTTAAAAGGCTATAAATATTTGTCGGTGTCGCCAGCCCCACCTCTCAGTTCCCAGGGAAGAAGCCATGTACCATCTTAATTGAATTAAGATTTGTGTAGAATATCCACGTAGCCTGGATTCCGTGCTTATTGATTGGGGGGGATTCTGGGAACTGAAATATCCACCCTTCTAGAAAGCAGCCAGTTTGAAAAACATGGATTTAGACCAGGGGTGTCCCAGCTTTGGCAAGCCTTAAAGGTGTGGACTTCAACTCCCAGAATTCCCCCGTGGCTCGCGGGGGGAATGCTGGGACTTGAAGTCCGCAAGTCTTTTTTTAAGTAGCTAATGTTGAAGACCCCTGTTATTTAGACAATAATAGAACATTTCCTTGATATGCCATGTTTCAATGCCTTCCGAAGGCAGTTAATGGTTTAACTCAGTGCTTCTCAACCTGTGGGTCGGGACCCCATTTGGGGTCGAACGACCATTTCACGGGGGTCGCCAAACAACGCAGTCCGCCATTTTTTCCCCTTTTCCTTAGCTGTGCTACTCCCTCTTATTCTATTGGCTTTGGAAAGCCAATAGAAGAGACTCTCTTGAACAAAGTCTCACTCTATTGGCTTTCCAAAGCCAATAGGAATTGTCCAGGCTGTCTCTGCCCTGCTGAGCCCGCCAAAAGTCCCCTTCTGCAAACGGTGCTGCACCAGTTGAGTAGTCCTCGACTTACAACCGGTTGAGTAGTCCTCGACTTACGACCGGTTGGGGGTCACGGCATTAAAAAGGTTGAGAACCACTGGTTTAACTAGACCAGACCACAAGCATGATGGGAAAAGCTTACTAAAGTAAATATTTTTGTTGCAGTTACAAGCTTTTGGGTCTCAAAAAGACTAACCTACCACTTAGTGGGAAAAAAAACAAAATAAGAAAGAATGGGTAGGATATTCATATTCAAAAACTAAAACACAGATCCCTTTTTAGAATATATATATGCAGGTCTTGGTGTATTCGGGTGTTTTCCCGTGTAAGATTGAGAGTATCTTGGCGACGTTTCGACGAGGTCCCACTCGTCATCTTCAGGCTGGGGTCTTCGGCTTCGTGCTTTTGCTCGCACAAGCACGAAGCCGAAGACAATCTTACACGGGAAAAGACCTGAATACATCAAGACCTGCATACCTATACCCGTGAAAATCGTCTTGGCGACGTTTCGACGAAGTCCCCTTCGTGCTCTTTTATGACTTGTGGACTTCAACTCCCAGAATTCCTCAGCCAGCATGAGGGAACTAGGATCCTTTTATGACTTGTGGACTTCAATTCCCAGAATTCCTCAGCCAGCATGAGAGAACTGACCATTTGATGACTTTTGAACTTCAACTCCCAGAATTCCTTAGCCAGCGTGGGAAATATGACCCTTTGATGACTTGCAGACTTCATCTCCCAGAATTCCTCAGCCAGCGTGAGGGAAATATGACTGATGACTTGTGGACTTCAAGTCCCAGAATTCCTCAGCCAACCATGGCTGGCTGAGGAATTCTGGGAGTTGAAGTCCATGAGTCATAAAAGAGCCGAGGTTGCCTACCCCTGGCCTATACCATTCTGGACAAATGGCTGTCCAGTCTCTTCTCAACAGCACCCACTTGTTGGAGCACCCACAACTTCTGGTGGCAAGTCTGTTCCACTGGTTACTTGTTCCTCACCGGTAGGAAGTTTCTCCTTAATTCCAGGTTGCTTCTCTCCTTGGTTGAGTTGGAAGGGGCCTTGGAGGTCAAGCAGCCGACCCTCCCTCCTCCAACACTGGAAGATTTTAAGGCGAGACTGGACAGCCATTTGTCCGAAATGGTCTAGGGCAGCGGTTCTCCACCTGTGGGTCGGGACCCCATTTGGGGTCGAACGACCCTTTCACGGGGGTCGCCAAACAAGGCTGTCCGCCATTTTTTCCCCCTTTTCTTTGGCCACGCCCCTGGCACCCGGTGATATATAAGTGGTTGGGGGTCACCACAACATGGGGAACTGTATTATGGGGTCGCGGCATTAGAAAGGTTGAGAACCACTGCTCTAGGGTTACCTGCCTGAGCAGGGGGTTGGACTAGATGACCTCCCAGGTCCCTTCCAACTTTATTATTATCATCATCATTGTCATTATTATTATTACTATTATTATTAAAGTTGCAAAGAGGCAGGGGGAAAGGCCAAAGCAGGCTAGCCTGCAGCTCAGAAGCACCCGGGAGCTGGAGTCTCCGCGTGTTTTGCAGAGCGTGAGAATCGTGCCAACAACAGACGTGCTTAAAAAAAAAAAAAAAAAAAGGGCCGCTCTGGTCACGTGTTTGCTCCGCTCCTCTGCCGCTGCTCTGGGTCTCCGCTAGAGGGCGCGAGCGGCTCGCGGAGCTGGCCGGCTTTTTGCCGGCTCCGCGGCCATCCCAGCCAGCCTGGGATGCCAGCCAACTCCGCTCGGTCCTTCCCGGCTGCAAATGGCTGCGGGCCCCTGAGCAAGCCTGCGCCAGGCCGGCGGCCATTTCCGTTCACGGGAGCGGAGGAGGAACGCGCAGCGGCCGCGACTGCCAAGTTCAGACGACCCGAAGGCTGGGGTCAATCAGGCTAGAGCTGGAAGGGACCTCGTGAGGTCTTCTAGTCCAACCCCCCTGCTTGACTGTTTCAGACCAAGGGGCTATCCAGCCTCTTTAACCAAAAAAACCCTCCACCACAAGTTCTAGTGGCAAGCTGTCCCATGGGATAACTGTCCTCGCTGTTCGGGAGTTTCTCCCTTCGTTCCAGAGGTTGCTTGCTGGAGGTTCGGAATCCAGCAGGATTGGAACTCGGGGTGGACGGGTGGGCGAGAGGGGCCGCTGGCCTTCTTGCAATCTCCCCTCCTCTCTTTGCAAAAAAAGCAAAAGAAAAACCCAAAACGAAACGAAACAAATCTCTTCCTTCCTCGGAAGACGCCACCTCCCAGATTGAAATAACAAGAGTTTGGAAGGGACCCCGGAGGTCATCCAGTCCAACCCCCTGCTCAGGCAGGAGACCCTGTACCGTTTCAGACACAAGGGCTGTCCAGTTTCTTCTTAAAAGGGAGGAGGAGGAGGAGGAGGAGGAGGAGGAATAACAGAATAACAGTTTGGAAGGGACCTCGGAGGTCATCTAGTCCAACCCCCTGCTCAAGCATGAGACCCTATACCATTTCAGGCAAATGACTGCCCAGTTTCTTCTTAAAAAGGAAGAGGAGGAATAACAGAATAACAGTTTGGAAGGGACCTCAGAGGTCATTTAGTCCAACCCCCTGCTCAGGCAGGAGACCCTGTACCACTTCAGACACAAGGGCTGTCCAATCTCTGCTTGAACGCCTCCAGTGTTGGAGCGCACACAACGTCTGGAAGGGGGGTCCTTTAGGGATGGGTGGTCGAGGACCCCCCACACACACACCACACACACCTCCCCCCACACACACAAACCTCTCCCACCCCCTCCCCAGCCAGACCTGCCTTCTGATTAGGCCTCCAGCCTGGAAGGGCCCCTGATTACATTTGCCTGCTAGTGACCTCCCGCGGGAGCCAGGCCCTTCCCCTCCCTCCCCCTCTCCCCCCTTCTCCCCCCCCCACTTATTGAAATCTCTTTCCAAATCAGCCGGAAACTCCATTTCTCAAATTGCTTCCCGCTTGGGACCAAAGGGCAGATTCATGCCGACCAGCCAAGTTTCTGGTCCTCGTGAAGGAGAGAACCCCCCCCCCCCCCCGCCGCTCAGAGAAGACTTTGGGGGAAGGGAAAGGAGGGAGAATGGAAAGGCTGCTTGTTCACTCTGCCTCCTGTTGTTCTCCTCTCTTGTCTGAGTCACAACTCTGGAATTTAGAAAAATAATCAGCCCTTGCGGTCGATTCGGCCAGCCGACCGGCCGGGAGAGAAAAAAACAGTTTTGCAAAGGAACGACCTGCCAGAAATTGGGAAATTCAGGGAGAAGGAAAAAAAAAAGGGGGTGTGTGTGGAACCACCCAGTTCCTTCTGCAGGCCTAGGGGGGGGGAAGGCACCGATTGGGGGGGGTGCTTAAAAGACGGAAGTGAAGTCCCCCCAAAAATGGGGATACTGGCTTTGCACTTAAAAGGAAAAGGGCTGGATTTGATCTGCGGGAATTTGGTTTAATTTCCTTTTTCCGGGCTTGGCCGCCATGCCCTCCACGCCTCTTCTCCTTCTCCATGCTCCGGCCTCGCCTGATTAACCAGAATGGCCTAACTGGAGACCATAGTAGAGAGAACCAGATGGAAACAGTCCAGAGCTGAATTAAGGGTAACGGGACTCACCAGGACTTATGACCACATTTGCTAAGGGAATTTCACCCCCTTTGATGCCTTGGCTTCCCACCGTTCTTAAGTGAACCCCTGCAACTGTTAATAATAATAATAATAGTAATAGTAATAATAATAATAGTAATAATAATAATAGTAATAATAATAATAATAAAAGATCTGCAAGAAATATCATTTGCCTGTAAGCAAGAACCGGTGGGATCATAAAATAGAGAAAGTCATAGAAAATGATAAAGTTAAACTGCTCTGGGACTTCAGAATTCAAATAGACAAGCACCTGCAACATAACACCCCAGACTTAACAATTGTCGATAAGAAAGACAAAAAAGTCTGGATAGTGGACGTGGCAGTGCCTGAAGATAGCAGAATAGAAGAGAAAGAACTGGAGAAGATAACAAAATACAAAGACCTACAAATAGAAATAGAAAGACTGTGGCAAAAGCAAGCAAGGGTAGTACCAATAGTCATAGGCTCCTTGGGTGCAATCCCAAAACAACTGGAGCACCGCTTGAACACCATCATTGGCATTGACAAATTCGCTATTAGTCAATTGCAAAAGGCAGCCTTACTAGGAACTGTTTCCATCCTGCGACGATATCTGTAATACCATCAAACATCCACATCTGCCTATCCCAGGTCCTAGGTAAGGACTCGATAGGTAGACAAAATGCCAAATCCAGTCTGAAAACATTTGGCTGACTGTGTGATGATCCATAATAATAATAATAACAATAATAAAGTTGGAAGGGACCTTGGAGGTCATCAAGTCCAACCCCCTGCTCAGGCATATACCATTTCGGACAAATGGCTGTCCAGTCTCTTCAAAACTTCCAGTGTTGGAGCATTTACTGCTTCTGGAGGCAGGCTGTTCCACTGATTAATTGTTCTCACTGTCAGGAAGTTTCTCCTTAGTTCTAGGTTGCTTCTCTCCTTGATTAGTTTCCATCCGTTGCTTCTTGTCCTGCCTTCAGGCGCTTTGGAGAATAGCTTGACTCCCTCTTCTTTGGGGCAGCCCCTGAGATACTGGAAGGTTGCTATCATGTCCCCCCTCGTCCTTCTCTTCATTAAACAATTCCAGCAGCCTTTCCTTATATACTTTAGCCTCCAATCTCCTGATCACCTTTGTTGCTCTTCTCTGTACTCTTTTTAGAGTCTCAACGTCTTTTTTACATCGTGGTGACCAAAACTGGATGCAGTATTCCAAGTGTGGCCTTACCAAGGCCTTGTAAAGTGGTATTAACACTTCACGTGATCTTGATTCTATCCCTCTGTTAATGCAGCCCAGCACTGTGTTGGCTTTTTTGGCAGCTGCAACACACAGCTGGCTCACATTTAAGTGATTGTCCACTAGGACTCCGAGATCCCTCTCACAGTTACTACTATTGAGCAAGGTACCCCCTATACTATACCTGTACATTTGGTTTTTCTTGCCTAAATGGCTGGCATCTGTTACGTCTTCCCTGGAGGGGAGGGCCATAAAAAGGGGCACACGGGATGGGAGGGGGGTGGGGGTGTAGCCAGATCCCACCTTAACTCCAGCTAAAAAGAGAGTATAAGTCAGCCTAAGTCGCTTGGATGGGTGGCATATAAACGTAATATAAAAATAATCGCACCCTGCTGAAGAATAGAATTAGAATAGGTTAGAGCTGGAAGGGACCCTGGAGGTCTTCTAGTCCAGCCCCCTGCTCAGGCAGGAGAACCTATACCATCTCCGTCTCTTCTTAAAAACCTCCAGCGATGGAGCGCCCACGATTTCTGGTGGCAAGCAGTTCCACTGGTCGATCGTCCTCACTGTCAGGAAGCTTCTCCTTAATTCCAGGTTGCTTCTCTCCATTTGATCAGTTTCCAACCGTTGTTTCTCGTCCTGCCCTCCGGTGTTCTGAGAGCTGTGCAATCTCCCGAATCTTGTGGCATGGAGTTCCACCGGCATTGGAATTTATACTCTGGCAGGTTTCTGACACGACTAAAACAGAGCCCAGAATTTCCACTACTAAGCAAGGTAAGTTGTTAAGTGAGCTTTGCCCCCATTTTACGAGCTTTCTTTTTACAACACAGCATTAACCATGGCGACTACAACAGTCCTTTTAGCAGCGTGTGCAAAAATAATCTTAAATTCTGCATTATTTCTCAAATTTAATTTATTTTGGACCGGGGATGGGGGGGCTCGACGTACAGGATTCCTATTCATTCCTGCATCTGTCTGAAGCAGAGTTTCTCCATTTTGGCTGTTTTAAGATGGGTGGGCTTCAACTCCCAGAATCCCCCAGCCAGCCAGCGTGGAATTCTGGGAGTTGAAGTCCACCCATCTTAAAAGGGGCCTAGCTTGAAAAAACCTGGTCTGGAGGCCCAAACCTCTCCTTCAAAACCACTTTTGAAAACCAACGGACGCTCCAGATGGAGACTGAGGCCCCCCTCAGCCTCCCCCCTGCTTTCCCTTCCTCAACATACCCACTGCAAACGCAAAACACAACACAAATACTAGAATCTCACAATTTCCACAGGAGCCTTCATTGACCTTGCCAGGGTCTCGCTCCCGGCTTCTCGGCCTGGTCCAAAAGGTCCCTTCCACCCCAAAGGTCAATGGGTCTCGGACTAGCCTTGCCGTCCAGATGTCCGGTGGCCTGGCCTGCGGGGCGCGGCTCCAACAGGGCCACCTAGCAGAGGGCGGCTTCGTGGTCCAGCCAAGAATTTTGGGACACAAAAATTGCCTGCTTCTTTGGTGGATCCGTAAGGATGACGATTACGTTGATGGATAAACACCCGTCTCTATTCCTCCACCAGCCTCCAAGATTTGGCTTGGAATTCGGTGATGGTTCTCTGGCACCGCAAATTGCCCGCTCTTCCGTGGCTGCCATAAGGCCCCCGCTGGTCTTCTTCCAGGCCTCCCCATCAGAGTGGGTGCCTGCTTTGACCAACTGGCTCCTTAATCTCCTCTATCCCTTTCTGCCGTGCAATCTGCCGGTTGGCGCCTGCGTAAACCAACAGCCCCCTTAATCTCCTCTATCCCTTTCTGCCATGCAATCTGCCGGTTGGCGCCTGCTTTGACCAACTGCCTCCTTAATCTCCTCTATCCCTTTCTGCCATGCAATCTGCCGGTTGGCGCCTGCTTTGACCAACAGCCCGCTTAATCTCCTCTATCCTTTTCTGCCGTGCAATCTGCCGGTTGGTGCCTGCTTTGACCAACTGCCTCCTTAATCTCTTCGATCCCTTTCTGCCATGCAATCTGCCGGTTGGTGCCTGCTTTGACCAACTGCCTCCTTAATCTCCTTGATCCCTTTCTGCCATGCAATCTGCCGGTTGGCGCCTACTTTGACCAACTGCCTCCTTAATCTCCTTGATCCCTTTCTGCCATGCAATCTGCTGGTTGGTTCCTGCTTTAACCAACTGCCTTCTTGGCGTACTTGATCCCTTTCTACTGTACAGTTGGTGTCTGCTTTGACCAACTGCCTGTTTAATCTATTTGATCCCTTTCTACTGTACAATTGGTGCCTACTTTGATCAACTGCGTCCTTAATCTCCTCAATCCTTTTCTGTTATACAATCTGCCGTTTGGTGCCTGCTTTGACCAACTGCCTCCTTAATCTTCTCTATCCCTTTCTGCCACGCAATCTGCCGGTTGGTGCCTGCTTTGACCAACTGCCTCCTTAATCTCCTTGATCCCTTTCTGCCATGCAATCTGCCGGTTGGTGCCTACTTTGACCAACTGCCTCCTTAATCTCCTTGATCCCTTTCTGCCATGCAATCTGCTGGTTGGTTCCTGCTTTAACCAACTGCCTTCTTGGCGTACTTGATCCCTTTCTACTGTACAGTTGGTGTCTGCTTTGACCAACTGCCTGTTTAATCTACTTGATCCCTTTCTACTGTACAGGTGGTGCCTACTTTGACCAACTGCCTCCTTAATCTCCTCTATCCCTTTCTGCCATGCTATCTGCCGGTTGGTGCCTGCTTTGACCAACTGCCTCTTTAATCTCCTCTATCCCTTTCTGCCATGCAATCTGCCGGTTGGTGCTTGCTTTGACCAACTGCCTCCTTAATCTCCTCTATCCCTTTCTGCCATGCAATCTGCCGGTTGGTGCCTGCTTTGACCAACTGCCTCCTTAATCTCCTTGATCCCTTTCTGCCATGCAATCTGCCGGTTGGTGCCTACTTTGACCAACTGCCTCCTTAATCTCCTTGATCCCTTTCTGCCATGCAATCTGCTGGTTGGTTCCTGCTTTAACCAACTGCCTTCTTGGCGTACTTGATCCCTTTCTACTGTACAGTTGGTGTCTGCTTTGACCAACTGCCTGTTTAATCTACTTGATCCCTTTCTACTGTACAGGTGGTGCCTACTTTGATCAACTGCCTCCTTAATCTCCTCTATCCCTTTCTGCCATGCTATCTGCCGGTTGGTGCTTGCTTTGACCAACTGCCTCTTTAATCTCCTCTATCCCTTTCTGCCATCAATCTGCCAGTTGATGCTTGCTTTGACCAACTGCCTCCTTAATCTCCTCTATCCCTTTCTGCCATGCAATCTGCCGGTTGGTGCTTGCTTTGACCAACTGCCTCCTTAATCTCCTCCATCCCTTTCTGCCATGCAATCTGCCGGTTGGTGCCTGCTTTGACCAACAACCCCCTTAATCTCCGCGATCCCTTTCTGCCGTACAATCTGCCAGTTGGTGCCTGCTTTGACCAACCGCCTCCTTGGTGTACTTGATCCCTTTCTGCTGTACGATCGATCCATCCTCTTCCTCGGCCGGATGGCAGCTGATGTTCTGGGCGGTGATGATGGCGATGCTGCCCAAGATGACGCCAGCCCCCATGATGTCGAAGGGCGTGACGGCCTCCCGTAGCACGTAGTACTGGACGGCCAGGGTCACCACCACTTCGGAGTGCAAGACAGCGCACACCAAAGCCGGGTGTGCTTTTGTCACTGCGTAGCTGGCGCACAAGAAGGAGAATAAGGCCAGGAGGCTGATGGTCACCACGTACATCCCGGTGAGCGGATTCAGCACCATCACCGGCTTCTGGAGGAGGAACATCATCGGTGAGCAGATCAAGCTTCCCACCACGCCAAAGAGGAAGGCCACGGTCATCAGCTTGGCCGGGAAGTCCAGCGTTCGGAAAATCACCAGCCCTAAGGCCAACGCCATGCCTCCCGAGCAGGCCAAGACGTAGCCAAAGGTGTCATAGATCTGGGTGCTCTTGTCCAAACTCAACAGGTCCGGCACCACCATGATGATCAAGCCCAGCGTACTGCCCACCAGCCCGAACCAGTCGTAGCCGGTCAGCTGGCTGTTCTCGATGCAGAAGGCCAGCAGGACGGAGGAGATGGTGGAGGAGCCTTTGCGCACGGTGGCCGCGTTGCCGCTGGGCACCATCATGAAGGAACTATAGGCGCAGGCAATGGAGATGACGTTGACCGAGGCGTGGAGCAGGGTCCGCTGGCGTACCTCCGAGGGCCCGAAGCACGACACCTTCTGGTAGTGCAGGTAGCCGGCAAAGAGCAGGTGGAGGCAGCAGCGGAAGAACAGGATCTCCAGGGAGGGCATCCCCGAAATCTCATTGACGATGCGGCTGAACGGGGCCACAAAACCGGCGGGCACGCCGCCCCCCAGCAGGGCCACCAACAGCCCCTTCATGCTTTCCGAGAGGCGGTAACGATGCCAGGCGGGGCGGCGAGGAGGTGGGGCCGGAGAGCAGGGCGGGGAGAAGCGCAAGAGGTCGGACACCGTCCAGGTGGCTGCATGCCCGGAGGGTCCCGGGTCCGAGGCCATCGGGGGCATCTCCGGGGAGGGTTGGACCCCGGGGCCCTTCCAGAACTGGAACCCAGCCTGCAAAAGAAGGAAGAGGACACTGGAGGACAAGACGCAACGGATGGCAACTCACCGAGGAGAGAAGCAACCTGGAACGAAGGAGAAACTTCCTGACGGTGAGAACGATTAACCAGTGGAACGGCTTGCCACCGGATGTTGTGGGTACTCCAACACTGGACGTTTTTAAGAAGAGACTGGACAGCCCTTTGTCTGAAATGGTGTAGGCCCTTTTTCAGACTTACGACCGTTACAGCATCCTGGTGGTCACGGGATCAAAATTTGGGCTCCGGGCAACTGACTCATATTTGTGATGGTCGCAGTGTCCCGGGGTCAGGCGGATCTCCTTTGGAGACCGTCTGACACTCAAGGACAACGCAGATGTCAGGTTCGTTTCATAACTACACAAGTCATTGAACAACTGCAGTGACTCGCTTAAGAACTGTGGCGAAAAGTTCATAAAATGGGGCACAGTGAGGACATTTTGGGTTCCTTTGCAGTCATAAGTCAAGGACTACCTGTAGGCCTGCTAAGCAGCTGTCAATGACATTTTTCTACTCAATTACATTTTCTAGTCAATGACATTTTTCTAATCAATGACATTTTCTAGTCAATGACGTTTTAAATTATATTTTCTAGTCAATGACATTTTTTAATCAATTACATTTTCTAGTCAATGACATTTTTCTAATCAATTACATTTCCAGACAATGACATTTTTAATTAATTACATTATCTAGTCAATGACATTTTTTTAATCATACATTTTCTAGCAAACATTTTTCTAATCACATTTTCTAGTCAATGACATTTTTAATTACATTTTCTAGTCAATGACATTTTTTAATCAATTACATTTTCTAGTCAATGACATTTTAAATTATATTTTCTAGTCAATGACATTTTTTAATCAATTACATTTTCTAGTCAATGACATTTTAAATTATATTTTCTAGTCAATGACATTTTTTTAATCAATTACATTTTCTAGTCAATGACATTTTTCTAATCAATTACATTTGTAGTCAATGACATTTTTTAATCAATTACATTATCTAGTCAATGACATTTTTTAATCATACATTTTCTAGCAAACATTTTTCTAATATTTTCTAGTCAATGACATTTTAATTATATTTTCTAGTCAATGACATTTTTAATCAATTACATTTTTAATGACATTTTTAATTATATTTTCTAGTCAATGACATTTTTCTAATCAATTACATTTCTAGTCAATGACATTTTAATCAATTACATTATCTAGCCAATGACATTTTTTAATCATACATTTTCTAGCAAACATTTTTCTAATCACATTTTCTAGTCAATGACATTTTTAATTATATTTTCTAGTCAATGTCATTTTTCTAATCAATGACATTTTCTAAATGTCATTTTTCTAATCAATTACATTTTCTACTCAATGACATTTTTCTAATCAATTACATTCTCTACTCAATGACATTTTTCTAATCAATGACATTCTCTAGTCAATTACATTTTTCTAATCAATGACATTTTCTAGTCAATGACATTTTTTTAGTCAGTGAGTTTTGAGTTCTCTGCTCTTGTGGGAGGAAAAACTGATTTCCCATAGGCATTTATTCTGAGGACTAGAAACTTGGTGGGGTTTTGTTTTTTTTTCAAAGCCAACCAGGATTCCTAGCCTAGTGAGAAAATTACCATATAACAAAGGCAGTGCCTGGCTAGGATAGGATACAATCTGACACCGGTGTCACTTTCCATCTTATCTCTCCTTTCTTCCTACAGCCTATGCTGCATTTTTCTCCTAAAAGGGTTAGTTAGGTAAACAAACATTTGTTGTTTATCTCTGCCTTGCTTTGGAAGCCTGTGGCTTTTTATCCTTGTTCATTCAGATTTTTAGAGAGGGGGAGGAGGAACTGCGGGTTAAATGATGGAAAAGGGGGGGATATGAGGGAGGACGCAGGCTCAGGGATGACAGCACCCCACAGTGTGTGTTTTGCACACACCCACACAAACACACAAAAGCAGATTTCCCCAAATCCTGGCCTTTGTTGTTCCTTCCTGCAGGCTGGTGCTGCGCAAGTGTGTATGTACGTGTGGGGGGTCCGCTGGAGAGGGAGAGGTCTGGGGAGAAGGGAGGGGGAAGACCCCTACCTTTGGGGGAGGGGGGGAGACACACCCACCTCTAGCCTAGGCCCGACAACCCCTCCTCAACCACCAAAGGGCACAACGCTTCCACCACCCACTGATCTGGCTCCCTGGAAGGCATTGTGAGGTCGTTCTGCATCTCTTGTGACCTCACCCAGAATGGCAGAGTTGGAAGGGACCTTGAGAGGTCTTCTAGTCCAGCCCCCTGCTCGGGCACCATTCCAGACAAGTTTTTTCTCGAAAGCCTCCAGTGGACGGAGCAGCAGCCCCAACGTCCGGTGGCAAGCCGTTCCACCGGCTCATTGTTCCCCACCGTCAGGAAGTTTCTCCTTCGTTGCTCCAAGTTGCTTCTCCCCTCGATGAGCTGCCCAGAGACCACCGGGGCTGCCCCCCCTCCCAGGATGGCAGAAAAGGGACACGGCCTTTCCTCCAGCTGGTGGGGGCCGAGGAAGGCCTGAGCCCCCACCCCCTGCACAAGGGTCAGCCCCCCAACTTTTAGAACTGAACCCCGAATTGGCTGAGCTAGCGGATAGCCCCCACTTGGCTTGTGCCCCTCATGGTCCGTGAGGCGGGGGGGGGGTGCACCCTGGCAGAACGGCCGCTGAGCCCAGGGCAAGACCACTACCAGCCGTGTGTGTGTGTGTGTGTGTGTGTGTGTGTGTGTGTGTGTGCGCGCGCGTGTGTGCGTGTGCGTGATCTGATGTCTGCGGGTGGGGGGGCAACTCCCTTGTCCCCACCCTGTGGGAACCGGCCCCTCCCTCCCTTCCCCCTCCTGGACAGCCCGCGTAAGTGGGTCACTCTGCCCAGGCTTGTGAGGGTTGGCACAGACGAGACCCCCGTCTCTGCTTCTCTTTCCTCTTCTTCTCCTCTTCCCTTTTTCATCCACCTCTTCCTCCTCTTCTTCCCCTCTTCTTCCTCCTCCTCCTTTCCCTCTCTTCCTCTTCCTGCTCTTCCTCCTCCTCCTGCTCTTCTTCCTCTTCCTTCTCTTCCTCTTCCTTCTCCTCTTACTCGTCCTGCTCTTCCCTTCTCCCTTTCTGCTCTTCTTCCTCTTCCTTCTCCCCTTCCCTTCTTCATCCACTTCCTCTTCCCCTTTTCCCCTCTTCTTCCTCCTCCTCCTTTCCCTCTCTTCCTCTTCCTGCTCTTCCTCCTCCTCCTGCTCTTCTTCCTCTTCCTTCTCTTCTTTCTCCTCTTTCTTGTCCTGCTCTTCCCCTCTTCCTCCTCTTTCTGCTCTTCTTCTTCTTCCTTTTCCCTTCTTCATCCACCTCTTCCTCTTCCCCTTTTCCCCTCTTCTTCCTCCTCCTCCTTTCCCTCTCTTCCTCTTCCTGCTCTTCCTCCTCCTTCTGCTTTTTCCTTCTCCCCTTCCTCTTCCTTCTCCTCTTCCTCCTCCTGCTGTTCCCCTCTTCCTCCTCCTTCTGCTCCTCTTCCTCCTCCCGCTCTTCCCCTTTTCCCGTCTCCCTCTTCCTCCTCTTCCTTTCCCCTTCTTCCCTCTGCTTCCTCCTCCTGCTTCTGCTCCTCCTCTTCCTCCTGCTCCCCGTGCTGCTCCCTCTCCTGATCTTCCTCCTCCTCTTCCCCTTTTCCCTTCTTCCTCCTCTTCCTTTTCCTCTTCCTCCTCTTCCCCTTTTCCCTTCTTCCCTCTCCTTTTCCTCCTCCTTTCCCCCTCTTCCTCCCGCTTCTGCTCCTCCTCCTTTTCCCCTTCCTCCACCCCCACCCGCTCCTCCGCAGCCGGCGGGGGCGAGCGGCGCGTGCCCGGCGGCGGCGGCGGCGGCGCCGCTCCGGCCCGGATGGTCCGCGTGGGTGGGGGGAGCGGCGACGGGGGGGCGGGGCTGGAGCGTCGGGGCGATGACGTCAGAGGGGGCGGGGCGGCGCTGGCGTCTCCCGTGCCAGGCGGGCGAGCGAGCGAGCGGGCGGCGGCAGCATGCGCGGCGGCGGCGGGGCGATCCGCCTCCATCTTGCGCTGCCCCCGGACGGCCGGCTCCGAGGCAGCCAGGTAGGCGACCCCCGGACGGGAGGGAACCCCCGCGGGACGCCCCCCGGCCCCGGCCCGCCTCGCCTACTCGCCGCCGAGCGGCCCGGCGGGAGGGCGGGCGGGGGGGGGGGCGGGCGCGCGGGGGGGCTTTGGGGGTGGGCGGGGGGGGCTCCGGGCCGGCCTGGGAGGGGTCGCGGAGGGGGGGGGGCTTCCCGGCAGGAGGAGCCGGAGACTTTGTGTCGAAAGTGCGGCTTCCTCTCCCCCCCCCCGCCCGCCCCGCCGGGAAGTCGGTCCGTCAAGAGGGCAGCGATGGGGGGAGGGGAAGGGGGGGGTCGTGGAAGAGTTGCCCCCCCGAGTTCCTTTCTTTGCCTTTCCTTTCTCCTCTCTTTCCTTCCTACTTCCCTTCTCTTCCCTCCCTTCCTTTCTTCCCTCCTCTTCTTCCTCATCCCCCTTCCTTCCTTCCCTCCCTCGCTTTCTTCCTTCTTCCTTCCTCTTCCTCCCCATTCTCCTTCCTCTGTTCCTTCCCTCCCTCCCTCTCTTTCTTTTCTACTTTCCTTCCTTTCCTCCCCCTTTCTTCCTTTCCTCTTTCCCTCCTTCCTTTCTTCCTTCTCCCCTTCTCTTCCTCCCCATTCTCCTTCCTCCATTTCCTCCCTCCCTCCATCTCCCTCTTTTTCCTTTCGACTTCCCTTTCCTTTCCTCCCTTCTTTCCTTCTCTCCCTCCCTCTTTCCTCCCTCCCTTTCTTCCTTCCCCTTCCTCCCCTTCCCCTTCCTCCGTTCCTTCCCTCCCTCTCTTTCCTTTCTCCTTCCTCTCCTCCCCCTTTCTTCCTTGTCTCTTTCCTTCCTTTCTTCCTTCTCCCCTTCCCTTCCTTCCCATTCCTCTTCCTTCCTTCCTCCCTTCCTTCCTTCCTTCCCGCCTTCACTCCTCCCTTCCCTTTCCATCCTTCCCTCTTTCCTTCCTACTTTACTTCTCTTCCTTCTTTCCTTCCTTCCTTCCTCCCCCTCCTCCTCCCCATCTTCCTTCCTTCCTTCCTTCCTTCCTTCCTTCCTTCCTTCCTTCCTTCCTTCCTTCCTTCCTTCCTTCCTCTTTTTTCGTCTCCTTTCTTTCTTTCCTTCCTTCCCTCCCTCCCTTTGTTTTTTCTGCCCCAAAGGACCCCAAGTTAAATTTTTCCATTGGGGGGGGTCTCACCTTCTAAATATCATAACTCCCCCCCCCAAAATCTCCGATCCCTCCGCCCCCCACACCTGGGAACCTCTCCCCCTGCCCGTCTCCCCTCCCCTCATGGGTCGCCCCCCCCCCTCTGCCCCGGCTGGGCAGCAATTGAGGCTGGCACAACACCCACCAGGTGAGGAGGGGGCCCTCCAGCTGTGCCCAAGAGGGAGGGAGGGAGGGAGGGGGGGGTCCGGGAGTCTCCCCTCCCACTTGGCCTTGCACCCCTGACCTGCCAAGGAAGGCCAGGTGGGGTGGCCAGGAAGCCCCTTGAATGCAAACACCTCTGTGTGTGTGTCTGTGTGTGTGTGTCAGGAGGACCCCCCCCCTGCACACACACACACATACACACCCCACTCTGTTGACCACTTCTGCAGTTGTGTTTCCTTTCCAGGCCCTGCGTCTGCTTGGTCATCCAGTTGAGCTGGCCGGCCGGCCAGCCGTGGGGCAGGAAAAAAACAAAACAAATTAAAAAAAAAAAGGCTTATATTTATTTTTTGCAACCAAACGCAGCCCAGTTTTTTTTTGGGGGGGGAGGAAGAACCGGTTTCCAAATTTGCAAGCTTTTGGCGGGGGGGGGGGCTCTACACACACACACACACACACACACACACACACACACAGAGACACGCACGTTGTGGGATAGATCCCCTTAGCCCGGCCATCTTTTTTCCAGCCCAGGCATAACCCTGCAGGAGTCTTGTTTTCGAGTCTTGTTTTCGTGCGATGCAACCAGACGGCCCCTTCTCTTTCTCCTCCTCCTCCTCCTCCTTCTTCCTCTCTTCCTCTCTTTTCTCCTCCGCAGTTTGCAACTACTCCCTTCAGCTGCTTCCAATTTTGCTGCGTGCTCTAAATTTCCTCCTCCTCCTCCTAGCTTTCTCCCACAGAAAAGCCCAAAGGGGGAAGACAGACAGACAGACGGGGAGTGGGGGGGGGAGAGGAATATTTGATAGCCACACCTCCTCTCTCTTCATTTTTCCTTTCTGCATTTCCTGGCACTTTTTTTTTTCTTTTTTCTTTTCTTTTTTTTTTTTGATCTCCGATCTTTGCAACTGGGGCTTCTACAGGCTGCGTCACCAGGCCTTAAATAGATATATATTTAAGAAAAAGAGAGAGAGAGGGAGAGAGAGAGAGAGAAAGAAAGAAAGAAAGAAAGAAAGAAAGAAAGAAAGAAAGAAAGAAAGAAAGAGGAAGGGAAGGGGCTTGGGAAGGCTGAATACACACACACACACACACACACATTCCCAAGCCCCATTTCCCTTCTTCCCCTTCCTTCCTCCTTTCCTTTCCCTTCCTTCCTTCCTTCCTTCCTTCCTTCCTTCCTTCCTTCCTTCCTTCCTTCTTTCCTTCCTTCTTTCCTTTCTTTCCTTCCTTTCCTTCCTCCTTTCCTTTCCCATCCTTCCTTCTTTCCTTTCTTTCTTTCCTTCCTTTCCTTTCTTTCTTTCCTTCCCTTCCTTCCTTCCTTTCCTTTCTTTCTTTCTTTCCTTCCTTCCTTCCTTTCCTTCCTTCTTTCCTTCCTTTCCTTCCTTCTTTCCTTCCTTCTTTCTTTCTTTCTTTCCTTCTTTTCTTTCTTTCTTTCTTTCTTTCTTTCTTTCCTTCTTTCCTTTCCTCTTTCTTTCTTTCTTTCTTTCTGTTGTTTATTTTCTTTTTTTCCCTTTCTTTCCTTTTGCCCCCCCACCCTCTTCCCCCCCTCTTCCTGGCCTTGTTTTTCACACCTTTCCCACGGCTGTTGTGTTAATTTGCAAAGCCCCATCACCGGAGGCAGCTGCAAACGCAAGGCTTGTGGGGGGGGGCTCAGTGTGGATGTGGCGAGCCGCAACGCAACACAACTGTCACGGATGCTAAAGCTGTTGTTTTCCTGTCTCTTGGAGCGCTTGTTTCCGTTGTCTCTAAACACGGCTGGGGGCTGGGGGGGGGAAACGTGCTTCGTTGCACAACTTGGAGGGAAGGTGTGCGTTGAGGTAATCCTCGATTTTATGACTCACAACATGCCTGGTTGCCAAGGATTTGGATCACGTAACCGTGGAGGATGTTGCGACGGTTGTAACTCTGGAAAACAGCCCCGCGTCGTTTTTTTTGCCCCCTCGCCGTCGTAAATTGGAACGGTTGTAAAACGAGGACTTAAAAACCTGCACGCAGGCGCCAGTGGTTTGGGGCCTTGGAATTTGCGTTGGATTTTTTTTGTCGCAGCGATATTGGAAAAAAGGCATCGTGCATTTCGTATGCCGGGGTACGAGGATTGACGGGAGGGGGCAGTTGCATCGAGGCGTTGTGCGTTGCGACGGAGGGGATGTTGTGTTTCTTCTCCCCCCCCTTCCCCAGGTGTGCGAAGGCAGGAGGGGGCTGCCCTTCGGTTTTAGGCCTGTTTGAAGGGCAACGTGGCACAGCGGCAAGGGAAAAGTGGCTGGGATGTGTTTGTCAGCTTGGCAAAACTGTCTTCAAGTTTGTGGGGTTGTGTTGGACTTTGCAACTGTGTGTGTGTTAATTTAACACACACTCCTCTCCCCCCCCCTCCCCAATTGGATGCAGGGAGAATTGCACATCTGGCACCCGATCGGCGTCCTTCCAGATGTGTGGGCATCGGGCCCCGGAATCCCGTTGCCGAGGCCGAAGTTTCACAGCAGCGACCCGCGTTCAAGAGACGCGGCGAGGCGCGATCTATGCCGGTCGATCTGGCGTTCCCTCCCGAACGCAAACAGCTGGAAACTTTCAACACACACAAACTGCCAAACCAGAAATAGGCAACGTTGTGTTGTCCTTGACTGACAGCATTTAGCGGCCGTTGGCAGTTACAACGGCACAGGAAGTTTTTCCACCCTTAACAACCTTCGCAGCATTCCACCATGGTCACGAGATCAACATTCGGACGCTCGGCGACCGACTCGTATTTACGACGGTCGCAGCGTCCCGGAGGGAGGGGGTCACGGGATCCTCTTTGGCAACCTTCTGACAAGCCGAGTCCATGGGGGGGGGGCAAGCCGGATTCGGTTAAAGACTGCGTGACTCACTTAACAGCTGCAGCGATTCATTTAACGACCGTGGCAAGGAACGTCGTAAAATGGGGCAAAGGAAATGTCTCAGCAACAGAAATTACGATTGTGATTGTAAGTCGAGGACTACCTGTGTAGCTGAGGAGAGTCTAATAATAATAATAATAATAATAATAATAATAATAATAATAATAATAATAATGTGGGAAGGGACCTTGGAGGTCATCTAGTCCAACCCCCCAGCTCTTCCTCTAGTAGTTGCTGAATCCTTTTGGTCTTATGTCCAAATCTGAAAGGGATTTCCCATCTCATTTTCTACAGGGGGTCCTCGACTTACGACGGCAACGGAGCCTCAAAAGGTCCGCTTCTAAGCGAGACAGTCATTAAGTGAGCACACACACACACATACTCCCTGTTTTACGACTTCTCTTGCCCCCATTGCGAGGCAAATCACCACCGTTGCGAAACGAGTCAGTCGCAAAAGGGGATCACTCTGTCCCGGGATGCCGCGAGCGTCGTAAATACGAGTCAGCTGCCGAGCGTCTGGGTTTTGATCCCGTAACTCTGCGACAGTCATTAAGTAGGGAATACGGTCCAGAGTCGCTTTTTCCAGCACCGTTCGAACGGTCACTAAACCAACGATGGTTAAGTCAAGGACTTCGCTTTTACCATTGTAGGGATGCTATTAAAGCCTGGTCAATCCCGTGGCCTATCGGAATATTAGTAACCGCTTAGTAAAGCCTTAGTAAGGCCACATCTGGACTCCTGCGTCCTGTTTTGGTCGCCATATTAGAAAAAAAGATGTTGAGACGTTGGAAAAAGGG